GTCAACCTGTATAACATGATGAAACTTCTGGCACTTGTAGGGATGAAAACGTGAAAGGGACGTGGCGTTAGATAGTGCAAGTCCGGACTGGGGGATGTTTAAGAAGTCAATTTTGGACAATGAAGCTGCTAAATATGTTATTGTCGCAATCCACTTGCCAACAAGTGTGAGCATAGATTGAGCAGGAATCGGATTGAATTCGCAGACTTGATTTGGTACTCATGCATGGGATTCTCTGTGTAAACCCCACTGACCCTTTCCAGTGCCATGGTCTTCGGAGACAACATCAAGAATATAGGTTGGATGTTCTTATGATTGTCTCCAGCTACACATGGCCTAAAGGATGCGGCATGTCACAGATGGGTATGCTTCACCACAGAGTTGGTCATGTGTTCGTTCAGAATGAGCTTATACTTCTCAACATCTCCGTATTTCAGGTCGCTCCAACCCTCCAAGCATTTTGAAGAGCAAATGTTCTGCGCACCTTGTGGCTGCCCAAGGCATGAACCGGAAGGCCTGGCACATGGAGTGGCTGAGCAATGTTTGCGAAATCGCTTGATGTTTCTTGCTTTGGTGTTTCATGTGAGCCGCTGTCAATATTGTTGGCATAGTTAATATTTAATAAGGAGTCTAAGGTGAGCCACGATCCATCAGTTTGGAGGAATGAAACATACATCTCTAGAAGATGTATTTTAATATGAAGCGCGAAATCATGGTATAATACTGAAATGATCTTGACAGCTACCCATGCTCATGCCCATGGGCATTTAGACGGCCCCGGCCCCGGTATCGACATGTCAATGCTTCATTTTGGAGAGGCGCATAGTCCATAGTAAAATTTGATGACAGTTGCAGTTCTACCCCTCAACCTGAACTCTTAGCAAGATCACGTCACATCTGTAGCAGCCTTCCACACCGTTTGAACATGAATTTGAGAAGGGGAACTTTGTCAGCTGCATTGACCCGCAGCTGCAATTAGCTCCCGAGTTGATTTAATCTTTGCTGATTGTATCCCCATTATTTGTTGCTTAAAGCCCCATGAAACAGCATCATTTCCTCGCGTTTGTTTGCCTTCCCATCAAGCAAAGTTCTCCTCGGCTTGACAAAGTGGTCTTCGCGCAAGCTTCCCAGGGTGTCCAAAAGGGGATTCCGGGCCAAAGGTGCCTTTAGGTGCAGTGCATCCTGTGATCAAAAATGCGCTGCCCAACTCCTTCAGGGTCACCAAAGGGTATTGGTCAGGCTTGGGTCCCTTCAAAATTGGATGGTTTCAACAACATGATCTAACAGCAAGCATTTATTCCGAAATGACCACAATCTGTGGTTCCATGGCGCCTCATGTGGAAGAGGTAATCCCCATGAGTTTCGCCATTTCAGTTTGGGACAAGGACTGACCTCAGCAAGTGGTTACGACCTCCTGCAGCCATCAAGGGTATAGCCTTCACTTGCTGATTCCCGTTCCAATTTGTTGTTTTGTAGTGACATGGTCTGACATGGTGGGGAAACGATCGCAAAATGACCTGCAAATCCATGGCTTAGCTTCATGATCATCCCAGCAACTCAGCCAGGACATTCTCCACTGCAAATTGCATGAAGTATCGAGAAGTCAAAAGCAGCTCACAATTTGCTGGATAGGTGATAATCCTTCAGTTGTAGTGATATTGCAGCTCCGAGAACTGCTGGGTGATGTCTCGATGATCGGAGGGAAGAACCTCAGGGTTTTGCTTTGATATGTTTTCTTTTCTTTTTTATGTTAGGTCTATTAGAGGTGGTCAAGCTTAATGTGGGGTCAAAGTGCCATGGGTGATGTGCATGCAATACGCGATCGATGGTTCAAAGCAACATTGGGACACATCAGCTCTTCACATGTTTGTGCCTAACTACGATCTTTCTCATTGCGTTATATTGCATTTGAAATTGGATTTTGTTTCTCCATTACCTTTAATTGATTAGCAATGTGAATTGAATCCATGGTTGGGTGGGTTTGTTGGTGAAAGGGACCTTGAAAGTTTCAACATGGCATCCACTCTACGAACCTTTCCTGGATTTGACATTTCGCTACGGTTTCACCATTCTACGGGATTTCCCGTTGCACAACACGTGCAAAAAATGATGGCTTTGGGAACGCTCGCAGGGGTCCCAGATGCGCTGGGACAGCAACTTATTTTGATTCATACCAGATACTGTAAATCAAACAAATGGTTGACGCCGCACAAGCATGCATAAATATGGTGTTCTTCTTGTCTTTTGATGCTGATCAGGTCAATATCAAACTTGGATATTATGTCCTTGTTTTTTCCTGTTATCTAGTGCAGCACATTTCATAGAAACTTGATGCTATCAAATGGCCGCAGAATTGTTGAATAGTTAGTCATTTAGACAAGGGACCAAGTGTGAAGTCAACGAGATTGGTGAGGCTGTTCAACATGGTCACAGAAGAGTGGTTTTCAATCTCTCGTCACTGCTCAGCGTCAACCTCTGTTCAGCATGTTGTACGGCCTTGACACAGCTGGAAAGGATTTGCCAGCTTTGGCCGAACTTCAGCAGGCAAATGACAATGTGAAGGCCCATTGCGAGTTGTGGTTGGAAGGCCTTTTTGCAAATACATGTAGGTAGGTCATGTTCCAGTCTTGAGGAGGCACTCGGAAAAAGTGACATGTGCTTCTGTGCTGCTGCGTTTCTGTGGAAAATGAAGCCCAACACGCAGTTAAACAAACGTTAACTGTTTTTGTTTTTTGCTGATTTGATATGTTGGTGGTCTGGCTTCATTCCCTGGAAAGGCCTTCTTGAACACATTTTGTGACGGTCTTCGGGAACAAAGAATTGAGCGCGAAAAATTCGAGGTTCACGTGGCAGTGGTGACCGGAAATTTGGAGTGCAGGTAAACCAAGGGTGTAGAAAGTTTAGGATCGTCACACTTATCGAGGATGTTTAATAAAACAGAACAGAATATAAAAGGACCGGATAACCCCACATGTCAAGCCTTTATGTATCTAAGGTTAATGTGAACTTCAGGGAGGTGTGAGAAGTGAGGTGTGAGAAGTGGACTTGTGATGTCAGGTGTGAGAGGTGGAGCTGTGATGAGTTCTGATATGATAAGTGAGGTGTGAGAAGTGGAACTGTGATGGGTTGGGATGTGACAAGTTGTGATGAGTTGTGATGAGTTGTGATGAGAAGTTGTGATGTGATAGGTGAGGTGTGAGAAGTGGAACTGTGATGAGTTGGGATGTGATAAGTTGTGATGAATTGTGATGAGTTGTGATGAGAAGCTGTGATGTGATAAGTGGAGCTGTGATGAGTGGTGATGATAAGTCTACGACGGCGGAGGCAGGAACAGGAGCGGCGGGATCCAAGTGAAAAACAAGAGCCCGACGCATGATACATGCAGCACACGAGCTCTTTTTCAAGAGAGGCCGCGCAAGTTCAAGCGTCATAATTTTGTGCAGTGTAGAGTACCTGGCACAGGTGATGAGGTAAAAGAAATATGAAATGAACTGTGACCGAAAGTAGCGGAGTGATACACTGTCGTCTGTATGTTCCCTGTTAAACGTAAAGGTTGAACAAAAGTGTTTCCCAAATTGATTCATAGGTTGGCGGTTTGAACCGCTCTGAATAATATAATTCAGTTTGGGTTGCTATTCCCATGCCAATGTTCACATAACTGTTGAAAAAAGGAATGCTAGGTCAACAGAAAAACTCCTGCATGCCAGATCTGAGCCATCAGCAGTGAGAAGCACGATGATGTCAACCAGCTGCGGACACGTAGAGTTAGCTATCACAAAGCAGCTTTGCAACCCATAACTGTCTCATGCGTGCAATACACAATGAAGAGGCACCGACACGACGGCATCTGACGGCATCTTTGCTGTATCAGCAGTACTCAGTTTCATCGTTTGCTGTGATCTACTTCTGTACCTATGTTCCGAGATAGTAACAAGGCCCGCAGAGGTCCACATAAAAGCTCCTGCATGCCAGATCTGATCCATCAGAAAGGACAAGAACGAAATGACTGCTGGTGTGTCTACCAATAACAACGCCTGCATGGGTCAACCAAAAAAAACATGCATGCCAGAGCTGATCCATCAGCACGGTGAAGAACGAAATGACTGCTTGTGTGTCACAAGAAATTCTTGCAGTAGTCACCGCGTGCAAAGAACTCTCCGATCCTTTTTTAGCACAACTGCATCGGACGACGTGCATCGCCCAAGTACACACAATGCAAAAAGCAAGAATGCCATAGCAATTCCACCAAAACATCCCCAAGCTAAGCCCGCTTGCTTCTTGCAATCAGAACGTCTGTGTTCAAATGCATGTACAGCATCAACATTGCCTGTCAGAAAGAGAATGGAAAACACATGCGCAATGACAACTTCGCGACACATTGACGCATCATCTGCTGGCCTGTGCCTGTCAAACATGTCTTGACCTGAAAGTTCAATGATAATAACATATCTGCTGGGAGCAATGTGCTATCTACACGACAGACTTCAAATGCAAAAGCAAAATGACAGAAAATCAATGCAATTTTTCCGTCCCATCTTCGGACTTCAAACTTATTGTACTGTACAACAACTTCTTCCGCTCGCACTAGAAAAGAACGTTTTTTTCCATGAACGATCAGGGCATGCTCTGAACAATTCGACAGGGCATGCTGTGAACAATTCGTGACACAGAGCCAGCACGTCCGAAGAGAGACGGCGCCTTCAATCCTTTCTGTTGACTCGCACCACAACACACTGACCCAAGGGTATTGCCAACAAGGACACAAGGACTGGATCCATCGTAAACACTCACGATGAACAGGTTTGTATATAAATAGTAAAGTCGACTGGTGCAAGACCTTGAAACAGTCACGCGTCATCATCAAAATTGCAGCCGATATTGTCACACCGACTCATCACCACGACTTGGGTGCTACATCCAAAAGAAGTCTACAAAGGCGATATTGTCACACCGACTCATCACCACGACTTGGGTGCTACATCCAAAAGAAGTCTACAAAGTCAAGAAGCCATGAACGCGTCGCCCTGCCAAGCGGCGCTGTCACGTTCCTCTTGCGGTAAGCCGTCTCGCATGCCACGAAGGCGCTTCAACGGAGTGATCCAATCCTTGTCAAACTTGAAACCTTCCTCCTGAGATTCAGTGATGCTGATGTGCTTCCAAAAGCTCGTCACAGCCGGCACCTGTTCCGCTGCGACCGGCACATGCCACAAGACCGAATATTCACCCAGAGTCTCCGTCTGACCAAGCACGACTTGAAAGACTTGACCAGGCTGGGCTCGGAGCATCCAGTTGACCGCCGAAGCAGGACCGGCACAGCGTAGCTTGACTCGATGCGGCACGGCCTCTGTCCCCTCCGCGGTCTCGGACAAGACACAATCCACTGATCGCTTGACACGGATGGCCGACGCCGTGTTGGGGTCTTGTTGCAAAGCCTCATCATCTGCGAGATTCACATCATTGAACGCCACCAAAGCACGTAGCGTGTTGGCATCGATGTGGCCAAAAGCAAACATCCCGAGATCCTTTTCCTCTGTCACACCACGAAGAGCCACCACGGGACATCCTGCGTGCAGATGGTGATGTGGAACCTTGCGTTGCAGTTTTTCAGAACAGTCAGGAACAAAGGTGCCACCGGCCACCAAACAGGGCTCCATGTAGCGGAGATCAAGTTCCATCACCTCTTGGTATTCATTGTCACGAAAGGTGAAGCGGCACAACCACTGCGCGCTCCGAAACATGTCACGAATGGTGATCCGGAACGCTGCCGTGTCCTGCAGAGGTTCACCCAAAGCCACGCTCAACTGCTTGGCGGTAGACAAAAGCGCGTCGGGGTAAACCACCACGCTGCACTGGGCATTCGAATCTGCTATCGTCAAGCGAACAGCGAGGCGTCGCTCGGTCTGGGCGGTCGGGTGCACCTACAGGGCCATTCGTTCGGGTGACAGTCCCATGCATCTAGGTTGGTGCTTTCATATAACTCTATTATAGGTGTGTGAAAAGGAACCACGAGCAAGGCATGTTGCAACACGAGGTGATGATTTAGATACACACGCCTGGCAAGGCGCTGCTCGTTTGCACGTAGAACAATTCACCAACAGCCACTCATCCGTCTCGCTCCGCACAGACGTGATGCCCATCACCTGCAAGCCAATGACTTCGAAAACCGTGTCGACCTTACGTAAGGTTCCAGGCACGATCACACCAATCAGACAACTCAGAGATGTTGCAACAGCAGGGCAGTTCTTGTGGTCTTTGACCGGAATGTTGGTCAACATGCGGCAATCATCTTTGCCACCCAAGTTTGCTGTCCTTAGCGCAACAGACAAGGACAGTAGCAACTTTGAAGCATGCTGCATTCAAAGACTTTAGAAAACAGAACAACGTTGATAATAATGTGCACTAGAACAGGAAACGACGTTAAGATATGTCTGCAGATTGTCATGCAATTGGTTGCGAGCTTGTTCCGACCCCGCGGCAGCACGCCGCATCCGCGTCTTCAATGCACGGGAACAACCCCGAAGATCTGCGGTGGAGCCTTGCTGCAACCAATGCAACATAGCTTCACGCACTGCCTTAGCCAAAGCTGCCTCTGACCCATGCTGCTGCCTAAAACTTCTTTCTGCTGCTTGCAAGGCCGGAATGGATACGTCAGCAGCGGCCAGTAACTTCTTGGCATCCTCCACCGCTTCAGCTTTCAAAGTTCTTCTAGGACCACTGTAAGTATGTCCACTCTTCTTGAAATGCGCACGGAAAGTTCCTCTTCGTTCTTGAATGTATTCTTCTGCCCGTGTGACTTTGATCTCCGGAAGCGCACCGTGCAACTGTGCGACAGCTCTAGGTTTGTCAGCGGGCGCATTGCGCGCAGCTTCCAGCTCTCGCAGATCCGCTTCGGCCGCTGCCAAACAACCTCGCCACGGCCCATGATGCCGCGAGCCAGCGACTTGAATCCTGGCTCGAAAAGAGGCGCCGCGACTTTGCACGGGCATGGCTCTTCTACGTGATATGTCAAAATGAATCTGTTGGTGAAAACTTTCATGTCATGCTTGTGGAAACTCGTTCTGTCAAATACACAATTTCTCTGTGTATATTATCATTTGTATCTGTACATGTATCTATGTATATTTATCACTTCCGAAATCGACAGCGACAAGTCAGGCACCGAACTTTGCTGACGTCTGCTTTTATATATAGATCTAACTATATATCTATTCGTATATATATCATATCTAATATATATATATATACAGTGTTCATACATAACAGCAACACACCGAATATATATATATATACATCTAGAAACTAGTCAAACATATCAACGAAGTATGTCACGTAACTGCCTGAAAACGACAAATCCTCACACCGACCAACTGCCGGAAGCGACAGCGAACAGTGCCAAAAGCTGCAAAAAACTATCGCGTGCAGATGATGAATCAGACAGTGCCGTGTGCGAGCATTCGGACTCACTGATTACTCACTGATTCTCAGTCTCAGGTGCTGACCTCAAAACATGAAGCATCTGCCAGCCAGCCGCCTGACACCGACCCACTACCGAAAGCGACAGGGAAAGGTGCCTGCAGCTGCAAAAAGTATTGCGTACAGACGATGAATCACACAATGCCGTGTGTAAGCATTCGCACTCTCACTGACTTATGTCTCAGGTGCTGACCTCAAAACATGGAGCACCTGCCTGCAGCCAGCCGCCTGACACCGACCCACCGCCGAAAGCGACAGCAAACAGTGCCAAAAGCTGCAAAAAGTATCGCGTACAGACGATGAGTCACACACTGCCGTGTGCAAGCATTCGGACTAACTGACTGTCAGTCTCAGGTGCTGACCTCAAAACATGGAGCATCTGCCTGCAGCCAGCCGCGAACGACACGTGGACAAAGTATGCAAACATCACCAATGCGTCGCCAAATTGCTTATGCTGTACACAGCAATCCAAGAATTGACATGCAAAGATTGACTGAGGTCCAAGTTAGTCAGTGTCAGCAACAATGTCACACCAAAGACTTACTGAGCTCCAAACCTTGCAGACAGCGTCATGAAAGCGCAGACCGAAACCGAAATAGCTGCAACGCAGGCAAAAGAGAGACAGGAAGCTCTGTGTATTGCGCCTGCCACGCAAAAGGGAAGTGCAAGCTCTGTGTACTGCGCCTGCCACGCAAGGCTCTGTGTCTGTGCACGGCTGGCTGCCAGGCAAAAGGCAGCCGCGGGCCAGCGGCGGCCACCGTGCCGCAGCTCCTCCAGAAAGCTCTGTGTACTGCGCCTGCCACGCAAGGCTCTGTGTCTGTGCACGGACTACCAGGCAAAAGGCAGCCGCAGGCCAGCGGCGGCCACCGCGCCGCAGCTCTGCCAGGAAACTCTGTGCACTGCGCCTGCCACGCAAGGAAGCTCTGTGTGCTGCGCCTGCTAGGCAAAAAGGAAGTGCGGAGGCTCTGTGCACTGCGGGTGCCAGGCAAAAGGCAGCCGCGGGCCAGCGGCGGCCACCGCGCCGCAATTCCGCCAGGAAGCTCTGTGTACTGCGCCGCAATTCCGCCAGGAAACTCTGTGTACTGCGCCTGCAAGGCAAAAGGGAAGTGCGGAGGCTCTGTGCACTGCGCCTGCCAGGCAAAAGGCAGCCGCGGGCCAGCGGCGGCCACCGCGCCGCAGCTCCGCCAGGAAGCTCTGTGTACTGCGCCTGCCACGTAAAAGGGAAGTGCGGCGGCTCTGTGTACTGCGCTTGCCAGGCCAAAGGCAGCCGCGGGCCAGCGGCGGCCACCGCACCGCAATTCACCCAGGAAGCTCTGGGTACTGCGCCGCAATGCCAGGAAACTCTGTGCACTGCGCCTGCCACGCACAAGGGAAGCGCGGAGGCTCTGAGTATTGCGCCTGCCACGCAAAAGGCAGCCGCGGGCCAGCGGCGGCCACAGCGCCGCAACTCCTCCAAAAAGCTCTGTGCACGCGCCTGCCACACAAAAGGGGAATGCGAACGCTCTGTGTACTGCGCCTGCCAAGCAAAAGGGAGCCGCGGGCCACCGCGCCGCAGCTCCGCCAGGAAGCTCTGTGTACTGCGCCTGCCACGCAAGGAAGCTCTGTGTACTGCGCCTGCCAGGCAAAAGGCAGCCGCGGGCCAGCGGCGGCCACCGCGCCGCAATTCCGCCAGGAAGCTCTGTGTACTGCGCCACAATTCCGCCAGGAAACTCTGTGTACTGCGCCTGCCAGGCAAAGGGGAAGTGCGGAGGCTGTGAGCACTGCGCCTGCCAGGCAAAAGGCAGCCGCGGGCCAGCGGCGGCCACCGCGCCGCAGCTCCGCCAGGAAGCTCTATGTGCTGCGCCTGCCACGCACAAGGGAAGTGCGAAGGCTCTGAGTATTGCGCCTGCCAAGCAAAAGGGAGCCGCCAGCGGCGGCCACCGCGCCGGGAAGCTCTGTGTACTGCGCCTGCCACGCAAGGAAGCTCTGTGTACTGCGCCTGCCAGGCAAAGGGGAAGTGCGGAGGCTCTGTGCACTGCGCTTGCCAGGCAAAAGGCAGCCGCGGGCCAGCGGCGGCCACCGCGCCGCAGCTCCGCCAGGAAGCTCTATGTACTGCACCTAGCACGCAAGGAAGCTCTGCGTACTGCGCCTGCCAGGCAAAAGGGAAGTGCGGAGGCTCTGAGTACTGCGCCTGCCAGGCAAAAGGCAGCCGCGGGCCAGCGGCGGCCACCGCGCCGCAGCTCCTCCAGAAAGCTCTGCGTACTGCGCCTGCCACGCAAACGAAGAGTGCGAACGCTTTGTGTACTGCGCCTGCCAGGCAAAAGGCAGCCGCAGCTCCTCCAGAAAGCTCTGTGTACTGCGCCTGCCACGCAAACGGGCAGTGCGGAGGCTCTGTGCACTGCGCCGGCCAGGCAAAAGGCAGCTGCGGGCCAGCGGCGGCCACCGCGCCGCAGCTCCGCCAGGAAGCTCTGTGTACTGCGCCTGCCACGCAAGGAAGCTCTGTGAGCGAGATGTGATGAGAGTGAGAGAGTGAGTGAGTGAGTGAGAGAGTGAGTGAGTGAGTGCCGCAGCTCCTCCAGAAAGCTCTGTGTACTGCGCCTGCCACGCAAACGGGCAGTGCGGAGGCTCTGTGCACTGCGCCGGCCAGGCAAAAGGCAGCCGCGGGCCAGCCGCGGCCGCAGCTCCGCCAGGAAGCTCTGTGTACTGCGCCTGCCACGCAAGGAAGCTCTGTGAGCGAGATGTGATGAGAGTGAGAGAGTGAGAGAGTGCGAGAGCGAGTGAGTGAGTGAGTGAGTGAGTGAGTGAGTGAGTGAGTGAGTGAGTGAGTGAGTGAGTGAGTGAGTGAGTGAGTGAGTGAGTGAGTGAGTGAATGAGTGAGTGAGTGTGAGTGAGTGAGTGAGTGAGTGAGTGAGTGAGTGAGTGAGTGAGTGAGTGAGTGAGTGAGTGAGTGCCGCAGCTCCTCCAGAAAGCTCTGTGTACTGCGCCTGCCACGCAAACGGGCAGTGCGGAGGCTCTGTGCACTGCGCCGGCCAGGCAAAAGGCAGCCGCGGGCCAGCGGCGGCCACCGCGCCGCAGCTCCGCCAGGAAGCTCTGTGTACTGCGCCTGCCACGCAAGGAAGCTCTGTGAGCGAGATGTGGTGAGAGTGAGTGAGTGAGAGAGTGAGAGAGTGAGAGAGTGAGTGAGTGAGTGAGGCGGAGGAGGAGGCGGAGGAGGAGGCGGAGGAGGAGGCGGAGGAGGAGGCGGAGGAGGAGGCGGAGGAGGAGGCGGAGGCGGAGGAGGAGGCGGAGGAGGAGGCGGAGGTGCCCCGGCGGGATCCAAGCGAAAAACAAGAACCCCACACAATGATGTGGGGAATAATATAGAAACACAAGTCAAAGACGGCGAGTTCAATCTCATCATATTCCAGTCCCGTTTTCTGTGACTCCCTGGATTGCATCATTGGCATCACACCAATTCTCCTACCCTTCGTTTGTTAGCACACAACTGTATATTTGTGGGGTCTTTGCTTGGATGCACCCTTGGACATGTGGACCTTCAGCGGGTACCTTTTTTGCCATTTTGCTGTAAACTCAGTGAATCCCTCACCCACCATGGCTCACGGTTTCTCGAAGGAGAAGCTGAAAACTGTCGAAAGCCAGCTTTCAGATGCAAGTCAGGAACAGGACCCAACATGCAATGGCATGGCACGACATGGTTGCGTTTTTGGACGGTGCACGGTGCAGACCCATGATTCTCAAAGGAGCAGGGTTTGACCTGAAAACCCTTTATGTGCCATTTCTATCCATTCTATCCATGTTTCGGTTCTGATATCTTTGCCAGACTCTTCATTGCCAGCCCCTTCATCGAAAAGCGAGCAATCTACATCCATCACGGTGTCAGAGCAGGGTGGCCTTCAAGTACATTCCATACTGTGCAGGACGATGTCCAAAGACTGCTGGAAGAATTTGCAGCGTACACACTTGCAATCGCAAAAGCTGAGGTGGGCGGAATGCAGATTCGCATGTTGTACAACTGTGTTCTCGTGAGCCACAAATTCCTAGGCCGGGTTAGTTCGTGCAATTGCGCATGTGTAGTCGGTGCATAAGGGACAAGTCGACACTTATTTTACCTTTCATAAATTCCAAACATGGACTTGAAATGTCTTGAAACGATACCCATCATTTCAAAGTTTCCTTCAGTTCCATCATCTGTTAAATCAGTGTTGACAGGGTTGGTTCATTGTTTTCGACTGGTTCATGTATGTTGTCCCTGCAGGAGCTAGTTCGGGCTGTGCTTGATGACCTAGAAGCGCGGAGGACTTTCAAGGAACGGACGGAGGCCGATCAAACGGCTGAGGTTAATTGGACAGGGCAGAATTGATTGCCATCCTGGCCCCTTGCTTGGTTTACCAGGCAACCGGTAGGACGGCATTCCTGTTTGCTTTTTTTCACGATAAACCTCCACAGGAATGCATAAACAAGCCACCACCGATGCTATGTCAAAAGGCACCACCATATCTGTCCAAACAAATATAGTTTTTTGATTTCCTGTTCATGTCTAGCAAATATGGCATGCAAAGAAATTTTTACCAAATAGGATCTTTTATATCTTTTTCATGTTTGCATATGACTTCCATTCCATTTTGAATGTTTCCATGCGCTGGCTGTGAACCATTTTCGAATGCACCTTCCTGTCGACCAGGCCGCCACAGCATCCTCTGAGAGCTTGGCGCTCGGCGTTTGTTTTACGCCAGATACGAATGGAATCCTCTCAGGAATCCTCTGGGAGCCACTCTGCCTTGGTCATGCCGAGGCCAAGACACCACAGCTGGGGGCAAAGGCGAGCAGAAGAACAGGTTGGGCAGCGGGCTCAAAGTTGAGGCGAATAGCTGGATGTGTTGCCAGCAGAGGAGGTTGACGTTTGTCCGGGTCACGGTGTAGTAATGATTAACCCTTCTCCCGTCTCCACCTGTCCAGCTCAGCGGTTGCTGCTTCTTCCTGGTACAGCTCATGTCACTTTGAATCTGAAATGTCATTTAAAAAACCATGCAGTTCGGATGCATGTTCGTTCATACACATGTTTTTTGTACCCTGACAACATGGCATAGTTCAATTTGATTTGAAGCAATGTATATGAACGTTTGTCACTTTTGTCAGCTTTGTCACCTAGGCCGGACGGAGCTGCACAATGCCGTGTGCAGCGGTGACGAAGACTACGTCCAGCAGCTCCTAAAAAATCGCGCGTCTGTTGATGCCATGGACGGAAGTGGTCCGAAACTTAGAGCGAACAGAATTGCAAGGTGTTGTTCTTGAGAACAGCACCTTTTTGTGTTATTTTCTTAGGCTTTCCGGCGGCGCTGAGGCCGGACACCACTACACTTGGCCGCCAGTGAGCTCTCGGAACCGGTCAAAATCATCGAGCTACTGCTGGAGGCCAGAGCCAGGACTGAGGCTGAAGACCTCAGCGGCCCGGAGCCGAGCTCTTCACATAGAATATGTGAATGCGTATGATCTGAGCCCTTGGATCCAACTGAATTCTCATTGGAGAGTAGATTCAGTCTGAGGGCTTTCAACTTCAGTACGCATATTGACACAGCCTCGTCATATTGATTTGGAAAGGCTTGAGGTCTTCTGTCAACTCGCGCATTTCTGGCGTTTGATGTCAAACTTGCCGCTAAGGTTTCACTCCCTTGAATTTGGCTTGCGATTCGAAATGCAAGGAAGCGGTGGCTGTTCTGCAGAGCGCCGCTCCTTGACTGGCAATTTTTTTGCAATTGCCATTGAATTTGGTCGAGTCTAGCCATGAGATGTGCAATGTAGATGTGCGCCCAATCTTTATTGTGCCTTTCTTTTTTATGTTGAATGATGTTTATGCTTCTTTACATGATTTTCGAGTTTTGCGTCCAACAAAAGAAATGTTTGTACTGTTTTGTCCTCATATGTCTTCATGCAATTTTTGGTTTCTTTTTGTCCGTTTTTTGGGGTTGCCGATGCAAATTGATCTGATTGGAGGGATCCATGGACAAGGTTCGAAGCACGGTCGCGCTTATGGTTTTGATTGTTGAAATATTCGTGGATCCAAGAAAACAACAACATGTAGCAACCAATGCAGCCAATGTAAACAGCACCTGCAGGAAGGGAATGGCATTGACCAAGCGCATGGGTATCTTGTCACAAGGGGCAGGGTGAAATAGTCCAATGTACACTCCATTAAACAACCGAAGCAAACTCCTGTTTTTCCTCGTTTGTCAAAATCAAGATGTGCATGTAACAATATCAGAAAACGACGCAAAAAGGACAGGAAGCACCCAAGTGGAAACAGAATAGCAAGCAACCAGAGACCAACGTTGTTTTTCCCGTTTTTTGGGTATAACCAAGTGTTGTTGTTTGAGGCAGCTAATTGACGGCTCGAACACATCCCAGTGTGTGTTCACAATGGCCAGCCTTTCAGCTCAGAAAAACTAATTTGCAAAAGATGATCCCCAAATCAAGGCCGATTGGATCCCCAGCACCTTGCTAATGCCTAAAATTGGATGAATTGCATAAGGTATTCCCGGGGGAAGACATCTTCGAAAATATGATGATTTAATTGCTAAGTTAGCGCAAGCCTCATGTTGCAGTAATTGCCCCAGATTTTGTTGATGAGGAGTGATTTAATAGAATATGAATGTTTCAGTTAGAGGTTGTCGGTCCAAATCTTCAAGAGGAACATCATCTCCACAGAAGGCATCCCACAAGGACTTTAGTCAGCAAAACATGCACAACTCTCAGCAATAAATTGGGATCTCATTGGTAAATAATCGGTCATTGAGAATTCTACAGTCGGACATCTCTGCAGGAAACCAATTCATGGTAGAAATGTCCACTCACAACGTTTCAACATTGCCCTTAAGGTGGAACCAGCAACATGAGGGTACCAAAGATACCTCGCTCGTGTAGATGGTCTTTTGGGGTTCCACGATAAATTGCAGCGTATACACAGATGTACACAGACGTAATGGAACACCAAAGAATTCAGTGTCCCCAGTATCCCCCCTACAGTCCCGTGAATCTCCTCGTACACGGACAGGAGGAGTGCCACCTGTACTTCACGGTGCGAAACAACAAGCATGCCGTGTTGGAAAGGACTGGCAATATCAGCTACCCTGGCCACATCAGGAAAGGAGCCAAAGACTGCTATGTCTCCTTCCCAGGAAAATACACGAGTGGCTGGGATGCTTTAACAAAGGAAAAGCATTTAGACAGTGTCGCTTGCGTCTTTTTATGTACCCCAGAGGATGGTCTCGGGCAACACTACATTGAAGAGGCCTCTGGCCGATGCATGTGTCATACCATATACGGGGAAAGGGACTACAAGCAGTTTGGATATTTAAAAGTCTTGCCGGCCTCTTGCACAGACGACGAGTTGAAGGATGCAGAAGACAAAGCCAGAGCAACAAGGATTGTCGTCATTCGTGCCACTGAGAATGAGGACGAGAGAAAGAAAGCTGAAGAGAAAGCAAAGGATGCCTGGGAGTATAGGGAGAAACCCGAATTCGCCAGAGCAGCCCCGTGGGGATGCCTATGGTTCCAGAAGTGGAAGGAACAGGTGGAAAAGGCGGTGAGCTTGGGACAAAGACTGAAGGTCGTGTTTTTCCCAGGGGAGGTGGGCCAGGGCATAGTCGGTTGGGATGAACTGAAAGATGTTGACCTCTGGGACGGCAAAGGGTGTGGAGGTTCGCAAAAGTGCGAAATTGCGTATCTAGACAAGAAGAAGAAGGAGATGCTGGACAAAGGAGAGAATGGAAAACCTTGGGAATATGATTGGATTGATGTCGCCCATTTCCTCAAAAAGGAATTCAAGGTTGGAACCCACGTAGATGCTTTTGACGGCAAGGTGTGGTGGAAAGGTACCTTACAAGCTGTCCCACGCGCCATACCAAAAGATCCAAAGGATCCTTACAACTTGTGGATAGTTCGGTCACAGACTGGGGAGTTTTTTTCCACCGATTGTGTACGTCATGCTGATTTGATTTCAGAGATGGTTGCAGAAGTTGGCCAAGACGTGTTTACGGATTTAGTGAAGAAAGGATTGAGTGAAGTGCAGGAACAAAGTGAACAACAGGGATTCAAAGTGGAGAAGCTTCAAAAGTTTACTTTCCCAGATGGCACGCCTGCGTTGGCGAGCAGGCTCAAAATTGAATCAATCCAAGTGCTCCAAGATGTCAGGAACAAAGTTCTTAATTCCGACTTGGAATCTGCTGTCAACAAAGGCCTGGCCACAACATTCACAACAAAGTCCACTGAAAAGTGGCAGGTGCGATTAGACAAAACGTTCTTCTGCAAGATATTTGAGAAGGAACTTTTGAGGTTCTCGAAGCTGACACGACATCAACATGAGAAGTTGGGGGACGTAGAGAATTTGCTGAGCGGTGGTCCCGTGCATTTGTCCGCGCCTGCTGGAAGTGGGAAGACATTTATTGCTGTGCAGTGTGCCTACAAGAAGATCAAACAAAGTTCTGAAGGACTGTTGTCATTTGTTGCCCCATCCATTGATCTTGGCCTTTACTTTTTCCAGTGGCTTGCTCAGAGATTTGGAGAACACATGTCGCTTCACGATTTGCTGAGCCGTGTTGTGCTGATGCAAGCACCATACGAGTCGTTTATGACCCTACATGATGAAGACGGCCGCTTAATCACTAAGCCGTCGGAAGGTGAGCCGCAATTTCTTTTGACCATTGTCGATGAAGCACATGATGTATTTCAGTCCATCGACTATGACAGATTTTTCCACATGGTCAAAGCAGAGCAGCGTTTGCTGCTATCCAGCAAATCCCAGGCATCGGGAACTGATGTCGTTTTCGCTGGAGCGAAGGAGGTGAAGCTCACTGAAATCGTGAGAACCACGAAACGAATTGTTGCAGGTTCAGCTGCTTTTCAGGGAAGCGAAGGAGAGAAGGAAGGTGTCAAATCCATGTCCAGCAGGACCTCCTCTCAAGTCGTTCTTGTTCGATTCAGATTTAGGTGCTCGTGTGGACTTTGAGAAGTACAGGCAGAAGACCATCACGGCACTTTGGGATTTGATAGGCACCTATGCAGGCCTCAGCTTCCACCAGCGCCTTGCCATGCTTGTGCCAAATGACGAATTTCTCACGGGATTCAAAGGAAGCATCCGACACCGCTTGGCTCAGTTTCCAGGGCGAAACTTTGAACTCACATCATGTCAAGACTCCCTGGCAATCCTTCCAAACCAAGAGACAAAGCAGACTGATGAGGCGCTTATAATTGACACAGTGGCAAACGCTAAGGGCCTCGAGAAGTTGATCATCATTTGCATCGGACTGGATGAAAAACTGGGAGACCAGAAAACCAATTGTGAGACCCGTGCCTTAATCTATCAGGCGCTAACCCGAGCGCAACTCCAAGTTGTTGTGGTGAACCAGCTCCTGCCAGGTGGCTGGTTTGAATTCCTTGGAAAAGTGAAATTCAAAGAGGACATTTTTGATGAGTCTTCAGCCATGAAGGAGACCACCACCCAAGCAGCCTCTCAGAGCATCTCTCAAACAGTGCCATCAGTCGAGTCAAGAGCTGCAGCAAGCCACAGGCATCCTCCAAGTCCCGGAAGAACTGCTTCATTTGCAACCCAAAGAGACAGCCATGTTCCTCCTGCTCCAGAACCAGAACCACCAATCGTTTCAACAGACCAGGGGATTGACCAGCTGAAAGAGCAGGACTCCTGTCACATGTGTCTTTTTGTAATGTGTTTCTCCTGTCTCACAGATGTTCCTCTTCTTTTGGGTACAGGACTCCTCCGTGTGGGACACCGATAACGACTTTGACACCAAGCAGATCCAACAGCTTCAGTTTGACCCTCGCAAGGCCTAGAAGGTTGAAAGCTGTTGAAGCGCCACAGACTCTTCCATGACAGTGTTGTCGCATATGGTGCAAATGACAGGAAAGAAAGAAGCAAGAGGATGGATTGACATGGATGGCAAGCACACAGTGTCATCAGCATCGTGTCTTTGTAACAACATTGCAATGCCAGACCATGTCTTTGTTGACCTAATTTTTGATGGTAATTAGCGACTCATGATTTTTCTATGACTTTCAAAAACCACGTCGCACTGGGACAACACCTGCAGGAAGATCCGGCGAAACTTCAACTACCCCCAGATGACGACGAGGTTCGGGCCAAATCGGGGTCAGGCAGCGACATATTTCTCAACCTCTCACAGCATCCCAAAACCTGGCGTCAAACTCAATCCACCATCCTTTCATACCTTCCTGGGTAAATATGGATCTTCAAATATCTTCAATATAATGTCCCCAAAGTGGGTTTTAGAACTATGGCACGGCTAATTGCATTTCATTTCCATGCGCAGTATGGTGAATCTTGGATTTAACCAAGTTTGCTGTGGGCTGCGTCTGATTTCATTTGCAAGAAAATTGACTGAACCTTTCATGGCTTGACTTTGCCATGTCGGACCGGTGCAACACCTGCAGGAAGATCCAGAACAAGTCGCAGCCGACGAAGCCGCGGCTGCGAAATGTCTGGGCCTCAGTCGGTATACTGACTGTAGAACTTGATGCTACCTCAGGCAGAAGATCCTGGAAGTAATTTGAAGTTGCACTTCAAGTTCCACAACATGAACATCAGGAACTTCCAAGTTCAATAAGTTCAGGTCTCTAACTGATTCAATCGAATTTCAATAAGCAGACTTAGCAGACTTGGACTTAGAGAAAACAGAAAGATTTAATGAGAAAAAAGGAAAAAAAACATCGTCATTTCTGTTTTATTCCTCCGCGCGCCGAGACGCCCACATCGCCCGCGCGGCACGCGCCGGCGACCTCCCGGGCGTCCGGGGCCACCTGCGCCGGGACCGCGGCAGCCTGGATCAACTCGGTGACCTGGACCTGTCAGCGCTGCACTGGGCAGCACGGAACGGCCACCCGGCGATCGTCGCGTTCCTCGTGGCGAAGGGCGCCGCCGTGGACGGCCTGGACGGCCGAGGCCGTGGGGAGCTCAGCGATCGCCGCCGGTCACGGCGCACCGCGAGTGCCACTCCGACGGTGCTGAGGTTGGACTCCGCTGCATTTTGCAGCAGACAACGGCCAAGTGGAGTGCGCCCAGCAGCTGCTGGCAGCAAAGGCCTCGGTGGACATTAAGAACGACAGTGGCTGGGGGCCTCAGCCGATGTCCGGTTTTTGAACACCATTTTTTCTCACCGGCAATCACAATAACAGATATAACAGATATAACAGGTGCAGTTCAATGAATGTGGCATGCCTCAATGACTTATGACATATCTTTTAAGTTTTTAATTTTGTTTTCAACTTCAGCATGGGATTTCACTGGATTTATCATCTCAGGTTCCCATCTTCAAAGTTCCCTTGAAATTCAAGAGCCGTGATTTTGGGCGTGTCTCTTGAAAAAAAATGGTTTATAGATGTTTAGAGTTCATCCCTGTCTTTGACATCCGTGTGAGCCAATGAGAAGAATGAAACAGCGCTTTCCGCACATTGTTTCCACACGTCAAATTCTGCAGTCCGCACGGTGATCCATTGAAGTGATATTTGGGAAAGGGTCACTTCGAATGTTAGCTGTGCTTCCCAGGCAAAACACCCTTGGATTATGCGAGAGAGGAGGGACGCACGGAAATCATGAACTTGATGGGAAAAGCCTCTTGGCTGCACGGGTGAGGCTCAATGGAATGGCCCAATGGCATTGTAGGTGGGAATATCCATGGGTGAAACATGGTGAAACTGCTGGCACTGGTGGGAATGAAAACATGAAAGGCGTAGGGATAGTGTGAGTCGGTACCAGGGATGTTTACGCATCCGATTTTAGACACATGACCCATGAAGATCCATGAAGCCTAAACCCATTGCCAAATCATCACAAGCCACCGGCCAAAAATTGAGCACAGGTGAACCACGAATTTGATTGAATCTGCAGAATTGATTGGGCGAGAAGAAATCAGATTATCAGAGTATGCGTGGACATAACAGGTATGGTTTTTTGCCGCTTGGCTATCTTCAGCACTACATGGCCTAAAGGTCACCGATGGTCACAAAGTAGGCATTTGTTTGATGTTTCTTCTGTCCATATCGCTTTTTGGTGTTGAATCATTTTGAGCCCCAGATGTTGTTTGCACATTTGCTCCGCCCAAGGCATGAAATATAAGGCCTGGCACCGGGAATAGCTCTTTTGGTGTCTCATGTGCCAGTCAGTTTTTGCTGATAATGACAGTTAATAAAGAACTGGAGCGATCATCAAAACAATCACGGGAATGATAAACATGGCTAGGGCTAGCAAGCAGCTCCTACTTGCCTGTGAGGAGCTTTGTTTCATTGTTAATTAGCAAACATGCGAAACTTGATGAACATTGCAAGCACCAAAATTTTGACTGCTGGGCTTATAACAACATGCTGGGTATCTTTAAACATTAATCAGTTGTCCTTGGCAGCAAGATTTCTCCAATGCAGAACCCTATCTATATGTAGCTATACACCTTTGTAAATTGTTTTGATGCAAGAAATTCTAGACAAGTCTGCGAGTGTCTGATAACATGAAGTTTGTGGGAAAACATCTCCAGTCACTTGCTTCGCCTCCCGTTTTTGCAGGTTTCGTATGGTGATTTCGACATGCTTCAATGTCGGGCCAAAGGTGCCTTTGGAGAGCGCCTGTGAAAAGATCAAAGATGTGCCGTCCAACGCCGTTGGGTCCACAGGGGGTGGATTAAAATTGGGTCCCCGCAAAGTTGGGCGGCTTTCGATGGTTTAATTCTGTTTTATGAGTTCCATGCTGAAACCAGAACCTGAAATGATGAACATTTGTGATTGCATTGGGTTTCTCTCTATTTCAGTTTGGGATTAGGATTGGGCTTAGCAAGTGGCTGGAATCTCTGCTGTGCAGCCATTAGTTGTATGACATCACAACCGCTCCTTCCTGTTTGTGGTGGATTGTTATGTTCAATTGTTCAATTCTCTTGTCTTTCAGTGTGATGACATGGCGAGCAAATGTCGTGAAATGACTTCTAGGTCCAAACCATGATTTGAGGTGGCAACTCAAGTAGTTCTCTTTCCAACGGAAGAACAATCCACTACCCCCAAAGGTGGTAGATATTTTTCAGGTAGTCTTGGAATACAGCTTCCACGACTGTTCGGCGATGGCCCCATGATCGCAGGCAAGACGTATCGGGTCTTGTATCGATTCCTTTGCGTTGACTGTATTATGCTGCAGTCAAGTTTCACCTGGGATGAAATTGCCTTTGAACATGTGCAATGCATAATCGATGTCACTGGTTTCAGGTTCAAAGCAACATCAGGGAGTGAAACGCACATCAATGTTGCACCATGTTAAAGATGAACACTCGTGCCACCCATCAACGTTTCTTGTTTGGGAAGCTACAGATATTCCTCAGTGCGTTGGGAGTTCATTTTTCAACTGTCAAGCAGCAATTTCAAAAGCACAGGGTTTGATTGGGTCGTTGGAAGAAGGGGACATTTTACAGCTACAGTTTCACCATTCTGTGGGGATTCCCGTTGCGCAATACGTGCATACAATGGCCTTTGATACCATCGCAGGGTGTCACAGGTGTGGGCCATCGTGAAGTAATCTATCAATCTGGCAGGTATAGCGACTTCCAAAAAAAAAACATGTCAACCTGCATGGGTCCTGTGGAACATAAGCTTGGACTTCGCGAATACTTTACAAGAGTACCATTTTATTTCATGAAGAAGGGCCGTTTCTGCCCTGGCGCTCCAAACTTACTCTCGGAAGATGTTTGGGACCCAAAAACCAACTACTAGCGTCTCAGACGGTGTTTGGAACTGCAGGGTCGGGTGAAACAAATTGATCTACAACTAGTTGTACTAGTACTGCTCTCTTTGGCAGATTTTTCTTCATTTCACATCATTTGAAAGTCAAGACCAGTTTTCCGGATAGCTACCCATGAACACCTAGGCACCTAGGCTTCACACATTGGGATACCTCCATTGCCGAGGTTTGAGCAAGCTGCAAGCCGTCAAAAGGGTGCCAAGATGCTGCTTGGTGGTTCACACCACCCCAACTGGTCAGTAATGGAAGTAGGAATACCGATTATCAAACAATAGGGGTCTAAACACCTGATATCACCTGATTGTAGTTATCAGATATACGCCTATTGTTGTAAGCATCACTTAACTTATCATTGTGTATCTGCATATCAGTAAAAACCGCTATTACACATATATCACTTGATATAACCAGATGAATGACAGTTTATTAAAATGATAATGATTGGAATGTGCTTCGTGTTTGCGGGGCCAATTCTCCCAGTTCTCTAGATGTATGAATCGGGGACTTCTTCAGCAGGGCTACTAATAAATTAAGATCTGCGGGATGGTTTCCAAGGATTGTCTCAATGATTTGGGGAGTGCTCCTGCCATTTCCCCCTCAATTGTATGTTTGAAAAACAACTTCATATGTAGCCTCTGGTAGCATAGACAGCTATGGACAATCACCGTGAATAGTAGGTAAGCCGACAAACTAAATGGACCTTTTCAATAGCCAGGTTATGCCAGGTTACATTACCAGAGAGTATAAATGACAGGTGATTTTTTCAACTTTATCAGCAATCGTTATATCTACCAGAACCTTCGAAGGATTGAGTTCAAAGAAGAAGACAAATGCGTTCAACGGGACACTGTGAAATCCGGTTTCAACGTCCTGGAAAAGCACATATAATATGCATTGATACACCATTTTGTGTTGAAACTGCATGCCATATGACTGTGGATGATCTTGCTTCAGGATTTGCGGTTTGGATTTCAGGTTCCCTGACAGATTTCCCCCATGCGATCCAGTTTCCAGATCCCTTGGGGCGTGCTGACGACTTTCAGATTCTTTCATTGCTCCGGCTGGATGATACCTTGGCTCTTGTTTTCATAATAAACCATAGTTTTTAACTAGGGTGGTACTTCCCCAATAGTCATTATCTGATACTGAACTGGCAATTAAACAGCCTAATGGTTTACTAATCCAGGGTTGACATTGATCCTGAATTGATCCTGAATTGATATCGAAATGTTAGCTTAAGACGTCATATTTTTCATATTCTACGTTGTCATATTCTCCATTGGAAATAAGACACATTCGTAGCAGAATGGACGGATTTTTACGAAAGAGGCATCCTTCGTGGCACAAAATCAGACGCACCGAGGAAATCCGCGTGGATTTCTCGAGGTCCTGAGGTGGAAATCGTTTGGAAACTCTGAATCCGCTGGAGCACACCCGGGGTTGAAAATGCTAGCAAAATTGCCAATGGAGAATAGATTTGGGAACTTTGGGATATTCATGGAGCTCATCGAATCTGATCATCTGCCGCAGTAGCTTTCGAAGCTCCTTTGGAGAGGACCGGGTGACCGGGTTGGGTTGGGCCTTCATCTGAGCATCCAAAGATTGTGGAGGTTTCATCAGTTTGGGATTGCCAAGTTCAGATTTTCTTGATGTTACTTGGGGTGAAATTGGGACTATACTTTGCGGCTACAACTATGACAATAATTCCCGTACGTTGGGAAATATGAAGGATGTTAGTTCGATGGTGTTTCCCGGTTAATTTCCTGGTCTCAATCTTTTTTATCTATTTGGGGGATTCTTGGAACATTACGATGTTCGACAAAAAACTCAGGGTTGAGGATGCGCAATGATGTAGCTTCGAAATCCGGACTTGCGAATGGAGCATACCTTGATACCTGCAGTATTACATAGTTGTTGATAATCATCTGGCCATCCATTGAATGGCGATGCCATCGGTCCAGATTTACTGAAGGTGATATTGTGATATTGCTACTATATGTTATTGTAGTATGTTTAATGTGTGTTCCATGTGGTAATTCTCTGAAAATTCTTGCGGCGCGAAGCACATGTCGAAGTCAAAATGTTAAAAACACTAGGGTTCGGACCACGTTTGGAGGCTCCGATGTGGAAAAAGTGCACGCCGTTGTGGCGCAAAGCACATTTCGAAGTCAAAATGTTAAAAACACTGGGGGTTCGGACCACTTTCGGAGGTTCAGATGTCGAACCGCTTCGCTTAGCTACACTACACTACACTACGCTACATTACACTACACTCCACAACACTACAACTACAACTACGCTCCACTACGCTCCACTACACTACACTACGCTCCACGACATTAAATTACACTACACTACACTACATTACACCACATTACACTCCACTACACTACACTACACTGCGTTACACTACACTACACTACACTACACCACCTTCCACTACACTTCACTACATTACACTACACTCCACTACACTACAACTACAACTACACTCCACTACACTCCACAACACTACAACTACAACTACACAACTACACTACACTACACTCCACTACACTAAATTACACTACACTACATTACACTACAACTACAACTACAACTACACAACTACACTACACTCCACTACACTCCACTACACTAAATTACACTACACTACATTACAGTACACTACACTACATTACCCTACACAACACTCCACAACATTACAACTACAACTACACAACTACACCCCACTACACTCCACTACACTAAATTACGCGACACGACACTACATTACACTACATTACACTACACTACATTACACTACACTACACAGCCTTCCACTACACTTCACTACATTAC